TCAAGGCAGATGTTTGACTTTTAACTGTATTTTCACAAGTTGTACGGCTTTTTATGTTGATAAAGAACTAACTGAATGCCATTCATATACACCAAAGTAATTCAGTAACAGATAAACAACTACATGACTGAAGTTGCTATATTTTCACTACTGACTATATCATCGGTACTCGCTCGCTTGAGTCAAACTGAATGATTAGCTACATGTCTCAGTTTAAAACCTTTACCACACAGTTAAAAATTCAAGCACAAATGCTGACTATTTTAATGGTTATGATTTTAGGAGTTAGAAGTAAATGCATGTTCCACATACAGATCATAAGTGGTATATTAAACGCATGTAAATAGAAGTGAAAATATTGATTGAATCTCTGAATATTTTCCGTTTTCCAACTACACCTTCAACTTTACAGCATAAAAAACAGCAGTGCTCACATTATCTATTCAATTGTGCACCAACACTAATTTACACAGAGCCTTTGCCACCTCGCTCTTACTCCCATACTGGTAACTACATGTACACGGAAGCAATGAGATTTTAAATGACTCAGATAAATATTTCTCTTTTCTTATTTGAAAAACAGCACCTACACTTATTATTTTATATCATGTAAAACAAAAATCTATATGAAATTTTCTAAGTTTCTTGTTGCAAAGTCTATCGAACTACTAAACAAATCTGCTAACAAACCACTAAGAAAAGCAACACTATTTAAAGGTTACACAAGACAAGCATCAAAGAAATAAATAGAAGATAAATAAAAAGAGGCAGAAAGTGGCCACTGTCCCAGCAGAGGGCCCAGAGCAACAGCAGTGGTTCAGCACCTAATTAAGGCCCCTGCCCAGTGTTTTTCATGCTAACTTGTGCTTCCTGACCTGCTCTGCCCAACAATCAGATGACCCCCCTAGGAGCAAGCACTTTGGTGACAGTGGGAAGGAAAAACTCCCTTCTAACAGGAAGAAACCTCCGACAGAACCAGGCTCAGGGAGGGGCGGGGCCATCTGCTGTGACCGGTTGTGGTGAGTCTCACATGCTGGGAGAAGGTAAGGTCTGAGAGGAGATGGGGTGAGGATAAGCCAAAGAAGCTTGTCTCTCCCCGTCCAACCTGGATTCATTTGGTCTGTTTCACTGTGCTGACTTCAGCTTTTTGTATTTTGTTTCTTCTGTCCCGATTTAACATAATTCGTAGTTGATTTGTACGTTTCAGCTTGAGAATCTCTGGACTCCTTCATTTGTGTTCCTATTTAAGATAATTTCTAACTTAGTTAGAAAATATAGGGGATATAATTTGACCACGCAGTTTAGAGGCATAACAGGTAATGTCTCAGGGTAAAACAAGCTCTGTAGTCTTTGTAACGTTCACCAACCGTAATACCGAGTATAAATCCCTGATGAACAGAATACATCAAAGGAAAATGTTGAGAAATTAAAGCTCTCCAACTTTTAACCTACTTTCTTTTGCTGGCGGCGGAGTTTCAGTGATTCCTCCTTCCCTGGCCATGCTGTTTCTCCTCTTCCTCACTTCCTTCTACTCTAATTTTAATCTTCTCTACAATTTGACCAGTGAAGAACTTGACTGCTTCACTCCCTCCTTCATCCCTCAGTCCTCCTGTAAATGCAACCGGATCCCTCAGTCTGAGCTGCTTTGTGCCCAGTGTGAGCCATCAATCAGCACAGCCTTCCTGTCTCCCAGTGGGCGAGGCAGATGTGTCTTCCTGAATACCACCAAGGCACAACAACGAGGAGGAAGGCAGAGAAAGCGAATACACAACTGGACTACAGAGCTCACAACCACTTATTTGTAATATTTGTTTTTATATTTAGAATCAGGAAGGTGAGTGAGGATGAGAAGCTTAGTTCTTAACACAACTTTTAAGTTCAATAACAGCATTTAATAAGCCTGCCCTCCCCCAACATAGGCATTGTGACTGAACTTGCAATAACAACTTTTGGCCACCTGGGGCAGCACAAACAACAGTTGATGTGGAATATTTAGTGTTTGGATTTTGTTTATTAATCATAAGGACTTCCATTAGTTTCTGCCTTGGCAACATTTCCCAGGGTTTGCTGTTATGCTTTGTAAGTAAACAGTATAATCAAAACAATGTCATTAAATTAGCCAACATAATTCATATATTATTAAATTATTAATGATGCTGTTGATGACTTGGCACATTTAAAATGGATTAACTGATAATGCAAGAGAGGTCCATGATGCAGTGTAGATGTCATCTTATCTTATTAAAAAAATGTTTTTTGAAGTGGCCACAGGAGTACGCTACGGTATCAGACACAAGTTTTATAGCACATATAAAAACAAAGCTTTTTCCTTTTCGCTACATGGTAACTAACGCTAAACAGCATGACGCACAGGTTAACCAGGCTTTCAGCTCAATGTTAATCTGGACAGGTGCTGCTAGCCCTCAGATGCAGCAGGACGCATGTCAGCAATTAAAAATAGTTCAGGATTCATCCATTATTCATTGTTAATGTGGGCATCAGTCGTAGGTTTTAGCCATTCGAGCTGCAGCAAGCAAACAAACACCAATAAATCATCCACACACACAGTACCTGCTCAGCAGCAGAGACAGCTAAAGACTGACTACTGAACACAGAGGAACACTGAGCTCATCATAAGTCAGATATTTCCATCAGAGGGTGGTAAAGCCCCCCAAACAAAATTAAACCAGAGAGAACAGTGGACCCAAATTTTCTCTGTTTGCCGGACAGCCAAAAAAGAACTCTTGTGCCCCCCTGTGGACACTTTTGACTGTGGCAGATACCTGCTGTAGCTTCAGTTTACTTTCTACTCTACTCTTGCGAGAAATTTTTAGTGACTTCAATAAGCCTGTAAGGCAAAGCAACAGCGACTGGCTATGTGGGCCTGCTTTCTAATAGGGCACTAACTCCACCATTAGGCCTTTATTCTTAAAAAAGAGGGAAAAATGGGTTTCAAGGCAGTTTAAATGTCCTAATACTGCTAATCACACACACACAGCAACACACAGCAGAAGCAGCAGCAGCAACATTAGATCGTATTGAGAGCCCTCCTCCACAGCGGGGAGGAGAGAGCCATGAATAAGACATTGAAGCAGTCTGTAACTAGGCCACAATAACCAGAAACAGCCTCTCGTGCATGGCTAACTGCTTCCTACTGTTTTGCGGAACATGCTGAGCATTGCTTTGATGCTGTTCTGAATCTTGTCTTAGCATCACTGACAGGTTAAGATGTAAACATCCAGTATAAGCCATCTCAAAAAGTCTCTGGCTGCTGTTCCACACATCTATTGATTTTTTATGATTCCCAATAATTCTTGACTTACAGATGAGTTTCTCGTTTTCAGTAACATGTTTTTCATTCTCAGAGTCACAGCTGACACAGTAAACTGTATGTGAAAGTTTTTTTGGCAGCTCATGTAGGACAACTTCCAATTTAAGCAGAAATAAGCCTATTCCTTGGTCGGTGTCTCACCTGGGGTGGGTTTTAAGACAACGGCTACTCACACCAGCATCACCAGGCTAAAAAAAAAAAAAGACACTAAATCTTAACATGACAACCTGCCTGTGGTCTTTCACACAGCCTCCACTTGCATATATTTAAGCAACTATCTGGTCTCCTTCTGTCAAAGTAAGTGTCCTCTAAATCTTGACAGAAGGATCTTTTTAGTAGTCAAGCCTCCTGACAAATATGAAATATACCAGAGCTAACAATACCTATTGCAAATGTGGCCTGAGCATGAGGAAGCACACTTATGCTTTGCAATGTCCTCCTGCATGCATCAGTGCCCATGATTTTATTGTTTTGTCTAAGTAAATCGACTGCACACTAAAATATATTAAATAAAATGTTATCAGTAAACTAAATTCTACAACAAAAATAACAACACTTTGCCTGTCACCTAACATGGCCATTTGGCGTTACTGCTGCAGGACATTCACGTTATGCCCAGATGAACAGAATCAGCTTTTTGGAGCTGCATCTGAAGTCTCATGATACAGACTTAACCGACCTGCACATAAGCCTTTATGCTTTTTTTGCATTTCGTTGCATTTCACCAACATCTATTTCCTCAAAATCAATTTTTATTATTAACAATAGTGACAGCAAAATATTTCTACATACAAAGGGCTACAATTTTAAAGTCGTTGAAGAGCAAGCCTCGCATAGATATCATATGTACAGCTGTTGAGTTACTCTCTATTTGAATGAATGAATGAATGAATGAATGAATGAATGAATGAATATGCCATGTTGTAGTTCTGTAGTTCTAATACTCTGCTTGAAAGACACAGGGTAACTCGACAGTTCAACTTGAACTTGCAAACTATTTTTATGCAACAGTGTACATTAAAATGAAATATAGTAAAATATGACACGTGTTTCTGGCTTTAATTTATGAAACAAAACGACGTCTCCGTGTCTGTTTCTGAACCACTTCTACCTGACAAACCATCATTGTCCCCACCACCTGCGCCGCCTGACTGACAGAGCAGCCTAAAGGGAGGCTCTGCTTTTGGGAAACCCACTGGCAGAAGAAAGGGAAACCCCGTGTAACATCCAGCACATCCCGCTACATTCTATCAACGTCCTTACCGATATATATTGCAATGTCTCTCATATTATATGCTCTTCATGTGCAATTAGCTATTATACCCAACTGTGCGAGCAAAATAGGCGTCCTTGAAGTGGCCATGATGAGGCAACTATTAACTCTCCGGAGTATCACAAATTTGCTATAAGCCCCAGCAGAACGATTGACATAATTAATTAAATTCGCTTAAACGATGACTGGAAAAGGTTCTTTAAGAGCAACAGTCTCGCTCCATATGAAAAATATCTGTAGCAAATCAAAGGAATTGATAAATTGGCCTTCATGTACTGGCGCTCCCAGTCAGTCAAAATAAACCAGGAGGGGAGCCTGAAAACAGCAGACAGGGAGAAAAAAAGCAAACTAAAAACATTAGATGCAGTCACACGGTGAGGAGGTGGGTATACTTACTGTCAGAGGCCATGGCTGTGGCTGTTTCCCTTCAGACTACGAGCAGAATCGGATGTATCATCGGAGGAGAGGAGGCAGCAAGCATCCCCGCCGCTCCTCATCCTCCAGACCCGCAGATCTGCAGTCACACAGCGGTGAGCGGTGAGGCGTTCACTGACTGTGGGACATTTGACAAATTTAAATAGTCTATCGGTTATTTGTTTTACAACTCAATATTTTGTGATCTTGTTATTTTATTTTATTTTATTTATTGGCCAAATAGGTGTAAGTTATGAGTTAACAATATTGTTTCACACATACAGTCAGTACTATGTAAAACTCTTGTGCAAACACACCAAAATGCAGAGTTTGTACAGTTCTAATAAGGTTGAAAGTCAATATTTAATATTACAATTTTTAATCTTCAACACAGCCTGAACTTCCTTAGGCGAGCTTTCTTGGAATTTCCTTAAATAGTCTTCAGGAACAGTTCTCCAGGCTTCTTCAGAGACATTTTAAAAACGCGTGAAGGAAAAATTCTAGTTTATTCTCACATTTAGATTAAGTGGTTACAAGTTCACTGTAGAACTTTGCATAGCCTTGTATTTCTTAGGTGAAGGATGCATGTGTCAATATGACCTGCTTAGCTTAACTATGTTATCTGCTGTGCTGACTGTATGAAACTCCCAGGGAGCCAAGTGCCGGGTGCTTCCTGGAGCATAGTGTGGAAGCTCTCTGCCCAGCAACAGCGCAGGTGGACAAGAAACTATTGTTACTGAAACGATAGAGTGTGTGAAAAGGGAGCTGCGACGTCTCAAGGGCAGAGCTCTCCTGACTGTGTAACTGTGATGGTCTACGTCTGTTTTTCTCTCCTGCATGCAATAATTAAAAAGCTTGACCACAGCTGACCTCGTTGCACTTTCCACCACAGCTTTCTTGGATGTTTGCTGCCTAATGCTGAGGTCTGGGCTCTCATTTTGTCAAAATGTATAGTTCAAGCATATAAAAGTCATATTTAAAAAAAATCTGTCATACATTATTTATAAATTAGTCCATTACTTAATTTATTAATCACTAAAAATGTCAAAAAAAAATGAAAACAAAGTGCTAAATAGTAAATTTTCAGTTCTAAAGCTGCTAAACATAGCTTAGGCTAAAATTGCATTTACAAACCTCCCTCCAGCTGACATCTTGGCATTTGCCCGAAAATTATAAGCACTGCGAGGAAAAAACAAATCAAGCAAAAAGAAGATAATGAAAAACAAATTTGAGGTTATACTAAATAGCAAGACCGAATACTGAAAACCAGATGTCCACATTTTCAAACACATGGAATGTTACACAAGAAAGAGACAGACAACTGTAAAACAATGAGTTTTTATAGTAAACTATCAAATTTGATCAAATATTGAAAGATATAAACACATGAATGAAAATGCTTCAGCAGACGGCGTTTCCTTCAGAGAGAAAGCTACATAGCGATAAGCTTTACTATGAACAATGTTTCTATTAATTTACTGTAACTGTAATGTAACCACCAATGAACTGATTAAAAAATAATTTAAAAACATGATTAAATAAAAAGGTAAAGATGTCAACATGATTTATTACAATAGCAAAGCACATATCAGACTTCAGTGGATGCTCTGAACAGCAGCTCCAGTGTTGTGCAGTTTCTTCAGGACCACTTGAACTTTTTGTACTGTTTCGGTTTATCTGCAAGAAAAAGAACATAAAGAGCACAAGCCAGCCAATGAAAACACAGCAGAGGCCAGTGAGCAAACACACGAAATATAAACGAGCCTGATCACGCTTACCATCACCAGCAGACTCGAGCTGTGCAAGCCGACTGATCTTAGTGGTCGTCATTGCTTCCGTCCACAAGTCACCTGAGAAGTACAAAGGATTCATTCATAAAGAGTTTCCATGTAACAAAATTCTATTCTAATTCTATTTTAATAATCAGCAGATGGAAAATATAAAGCATAGTGTACATGTGCAGTGATTTATAGATTAAATCCAGGCTGTTTCTGCGTGTTTTTTTAGCACTTCAGTGTCACTGTTTAATTTTACCGGTGCCTCGGAGGACTTATATCCGCAATAAAGAACAGAAGGGTGATAGCAATAATAGGTTTTTATTTATTTATTAAAATATGGCATCTTAAAGCATGCTGATAATTTCCTACAACTTACTGAAGGTAAGTCTAATGCAAACCAGTTTGTCAATGTCAAGGTCAGGGCCTGGGATCACACATAAAGCAGGAACGGGTGTGAAATGTTTATCTTTAGTGGTTACAGGAAGATTACCTGAAATATGGAGATTCTCACTGGTTCTGGCTTTGAGTGACGGCTTGGTTATTCTGGAGCGACCTAATGTGGGGGCGGATCTGGCCTCGTAACTGGTGAAATCCACTTCCACCTGGCGGTGACGCCTTGACTTGGAGGCCTGAGGGAAAAAAACATATGAAATAATAAATTGTCACAATAAATATAAAAATCAGTAAAGACTGCATCCACTGACACAAACCTCTGCTGCTTGTCCGTACGCCTTCAATTTGATGGAAGCAAGGAGCCCTGCCCTTTTGGAGCACTGAGGACACACACAAAGACAGCGGGTCAACAGAGGCGTCTCTGGAGAAAGTTACAGCATCTTTGGAAAACTCCAACAGCTTTCTGACTTCCTGTGATTCATCACCTAAACCTGCAAGAGACATGAGGTAAGACACTGAAATGGCTATCTCACCTCCTGCTGGGATGATGTTCCCTCACTGCTGTCCTCTTCTTCGTCCACACTGTCCTGTCAGGACAAAACACGACACAGCATCACATCAGAGGTGGGAAAAAACACACAAAAGGTGAAGCTATAACATGGTAAAATAAACTGTAACAATATGTTCTGTTTTCAGACCTTCCTTTTCTGCCAATTGTAGAAGTCGACCACAGCGCTGCGAAGCTGAGGGACGAAGTTTTTACGGATCAGGCTGACGGACGGATCTTGCTGCGCTGATGTCAGAGAGAGGGTGGATGCCTTCAGATTCTCATAGTGCTGGTGAATGTTGTCCATTTCCTGCAAGACAACAAAGATACCTGTTTGCGATGTTGTGTTGTTAATGTCCACCCCCCTTTTCACAAACCGCAGTATTTTTATTTTGAAATCTGAAAGGATGCTCCGTGTCATTCCTGTGTTCACTTTCCTGCCCTCCTATGCAGCTAAAATCACTTTGTGTTGAGTATTTTTAACGTCACAGAGAGAATAGGATGCTTCTGCAGAGAAATGCAGCCTGAAATGTGATGCAGCTTGACTGCTATGTAACTACATTTGGCGGGGTTTGGGTAGTAGGGGGAAGGAAGGGTCGACTTACTTCCAGCAGCTCGATGTTAACCAGCTCCTGTGGACGGGACACTCGCTCCATGAACTCCTCATGCATTGGCAACCTTTCCACCTTCCTCTTCTTATTGTAGGTGAGCTGGGGGAAGGAAAGAAGATATATCTACTCTAACTAGTGATGTAATGTTTCTAGCCTTGGATGGACCACAATTCCTGTCAGCTGAGAGCAGAATTCTGAGGTTGCTGTGGGCACAATATCATGGAAGCTGAAAATAAAATAAAATAGATCCACATTAAAATATATTTAAAATATTTAGACAGGAAACTAACCAGAGAGGGTGTGGCGGTGAAGTGGAAAGCTTTACAGAACATGAGCTGCTGGAGGATGTAGATCACGTCGAAGTGCTGAGCAACTGTAGCGTCTTTCTCAAACGTCTTCACGTCCGCCCAGTCCTTCAGTGCCAGACGGATCTGCAGCCAGAGACACAGCAAGAGCTTCATTTCAAGTTTGCTGATCACTTTAAGGAGAAAGTACATGTGCTGTCGGTCCTGACCTGCTCAGAGGGTGACGCATTCTGGCACTGATACAAGCTGTACAGGAGGTAAAGTCCTCCTACTCGGATCTGGAAGCTGAAGGGTGGCAGGAAGAAGACAGAGGCCACGTCCAGTATCAGACGACTGAATTTTCGCTTCTCGTGGTTCACAGTGCCACTGCAGCCAGAGAAACATACAACACTGAGAAAGGATTTCTCCAGTAAGGGGTCTAAGAGCTCAGTGGTGCTGCTGCTGGTGGTGGTGTGATGCATGATCTCCAGTTTAATTTTTTAAATGTAATTTATTCGGTTGTTTCCTGTGTGTTTATCCATGTTTTCACCATTGAGATTATTTGTTCATGGCCCTTTCACCTTAATTATTCTGTACTTTGCTTTCCTGGAAATTAAGTGTGTCTATAAATTGGACACTTGTGTGTGAAATGTTTGCCTTTTAATAATAAAGATAATAAGGGTGACATGAACTTAAAGAAAATATTTCTCATTCTGACACACAAAAAACCTCAAAAGAATTTGGGTAAGACTCAAACCCTGTATTGGAAAACAAAGGGATGTTTTGAGCAGAAAACCTACTAGAAAATCTGTGAGAACTTCATCTCTCTCCATATTCTGGCGAAAATCTCGAAGCGGACGGACTGTGTTCGCTGGAAGCGCTTCAGGAGCTGCTCGCAGTCTGCTTTCACCTGTTTCCCGCAGAAATCCATCGTCCTGATGCCTCCACACACGAGTCAACGTGAAAACACAACGTCACAGAGCTTACGTCGTGGACATCATCAACTTTTATTTTTATTTACGTTTATTTTCAAGCTTCTGCAGCGAGAAAATGTCTCTTGGTTAGCGAGACCGAAATTTAAACACAAGATTAAACAACCGTCGAGCACTTAGTACGTCACCAGTCCTCGGCGGCTGACGACACCTTCACTGACCGTCTTGAAAAATGGAGGTCACGTTTTTTTTTAAGAACTTTATTTATGAACCTCGCTACAGACAAAAAGGCACCAACAATGGTTATTCAAGAAACTAATATACACAAAGTATAGCATTAAAAAGGAAAGAAAAAAGAATAACAAAAAGTGAAACGTGAAAAATAGACACAAAATGCGAAGAAATGACAAATCCTGCACTGTATCTGGAAAAGGTGGGGTCATCTTAAAATTTAATTTATTGAATAGAGAAACTATTACTGAATAGAGCAAACCGTGTTATTTGCAAGTTTTTGACTCTTAATCGGGAGTTTTTATTTGTTCAGTCATTTGTTACATGGTTTAGCTTTAAAATATCCACATTTATGAATAAAATATCTCCCTAATAACAA